GCCTCAGCAAGGCTTCAGGGTGCTCCTCCCCTTTCATCAGCCTCGTGCGACAGCACCTGAAATATGCATACAATTCCGAGACGTTGAAGGGTGTTGGGGGGGCGGAGAACTATTCTCTGAATATTTGATTGTGTTAATGAGCAGGAAAGATAACAGGACTTAGCACTTTGTTGGCTCGGTCGACTCTCGGAGCGTGAGAAATAAAAGGACGGAAGGAACGGATGAAATATTTAAAAACTGCGATGGCTCTGAGGAGTAAGGTCTCTCCATCGGGATGTTGCCGAGGGTCATGAAAAAGTTTCAGGTAAAGGTCACACTCTCTGAGAGGGAAATGAAAACACTGTCACTACTTTGAAGGATGTATCATATCAGGTCTGCACTGGAGCCGTTTGCATACCAATAGATGATCAGAAACCTGCCCTTTGATGGATGCCTGAAGGACCCGTGACTGATTGATGGGGCATCTTGGTGGGGGCGAACGGGTGAATGGATAGATGGGTGGTGTGTGGATGAGGAATAGCCTCCCCATGGTTATTACTCAACAAGTGAAGAGTTCCTGGGAGTTTCTGGAGGCTCTCACAGTTTCCACCCCTACTGTTCCTGTAATAACTTTGCGCCCCTGGTGCCCTTGCAATAAAATGATGATAAATGAGTGGAAGCAAAGGGGACCCTGGACAGTTTGCGGGCGCGTGTGTGTGTGTGAGTTGTGTTTATGTTTTCTCATTGAGGCAGTATACATGTGAAAGTTACCTCAGGCAGCTTATAAGTGAACATAACTTATTCATTACACCAATTAATACACTGACTAATGAGTCGATCCTTCATTCTTTAATCAAAAACAGATGCAAGAGACATTTCCACAGAGCCTTGTTTAAAGAGTGGGAGACAGCGAGAGGAAACCCATCTTCATTGAGCCAGCTAATCTCTATTTACGTTGAAATCAGGGGTTTATTAGTAACATTATTATTATCCTTTGGATTGGAAGGGAAACGTGTGACAGAACAATGAATACACATGCATCTTGCCTCCAAGGGGGGGCTCTTTGTGCAGCACGGAACATTCACTGCAGATTGTGCCCTTTAATTGAACGTGTAGATCGAGCGGACAGGTCTCCCGCGGTTGACACGTGTCGGCCGTCCCTTCCACTCGGCTGTGAAAAAGCTGTCTCGGCAGATACGGATTAGCGGCGGAGCGGCGTGGGGCAGGTATTACACGTCTCCGGTGGCACTGCCAGCGCTGCCCCATGACTGCTAATAGCCTCTGTTGTCTCGTGTCTTGGAGCGGGGGCTCGCTGCACGCTGGGGACACTTGTTTTCTACCGCTGCCAATCCTAATGCCCCGGCTGCCTGGCAGATCAGAGGTTCTGGAGGGGTGAAGGGTGGAGGGGTTGGGGAGAGAAAAGAGATGGAGGGAGGTTGTCAAAACAACTCCTCATCCCCTCCTCAGCTGCTTCGTCTCCAATCTCTCCTTCTTCTACACCAACCTGACTGCCAAAAGCCGAGAGAGATCAAAAGACGCCAACTTGAAAGGCATCCCTGAGATCCTGTTTTCCCGTCTCCCCCTCACTCCGTTACAGATATGGAAATGCTGAAACCCAAATACCGCCCTTACTTAGGCTGTAGAGCGTGCCCGGCCTCATCTGACACTCTCTCTCTATCTTCCTTTTGCTTTTCTCCTCTCCTCCTTGCCTCGTCTCCCTCCTTCCTCATGCTGCCTCTCCATCCTGTGCCCTTGCCTCTCTCCGGCAGCCCCTCAGGCTTCCAGGTAGATAGCGGTTGATTGGCAGCTGCTGTGACAGTCAGTGGAACCGGCTGAGAGTGGATGAGTGTCAGCCTTGCTCCGGGGGGCTTAAGGCAGCCGGGATGTAGCAGAGAGAGAGAGACCCATGAAATGAGACTCCGTCGTTTCTTCCCTTCCCCTTGCTTCTCTCAACTGAAGCAGGTAGGAGCTAAATAGGTTTTTCAAATCGCTCCAGAGTTTATCCTGAGATTGAGAAGAAGTGGAGAAGTGGAACATTTCTTCAAACTACATCCTGTCATATGGTCTCCTTCTCTCATTCCTCCTTTTTTTTAAACTTTTGGTTTTCCATAGCGTCTTGTTATTGTCTTTCACTTCCTTCTCTTTCGTCCACTCGGACTCCTCAGGTGCCAGGTCCACCTGACAATCAGCCATGTGATGTCTGCACTTTTCCCCTACTTTTGAACATCTTCTGAGTACAATTCAGGTGTCTGGGGAGAGAAGAAAACATGAAATATTCAAAAAAACGTGGCTGTGACCAATTCCCAGACGGAGGGGAAAGCGTTTGTGTGAAGGTTTTCAGCTTGAGCTCGGCCCCGTCAACTGCAACAATTGCATCAGTATTCCCCCCGGCCAAGAGTGCTCCATCATTCCTGGCACAGAGGGAGAGAGGCCTCACGGAGCGCACAATCTGGCAGCCCATACGCTCTCAGAGTTACACAATCGTGTCGATCCTTCCTGTGTGAGGAGTTTTAGTTTCTTTCCGACTCGCTCTTCCATCCCGGCACAAACCACTAAGCTACGAGCGATGCCGGCTCCTCCAGGAGGTGAATATTCAGAGTGCCATAACTGGACCTAGTATATGGGACGCACTTGTTTGGAATCCAAAAACTTTTGTTAAAATTTGTGTGGTAAATTGTAACAGTGGTCGAATACTACTAATGTGATATGCTTCAATGCACCTGTGTTAAAGACTAGCTGTGCTCCTCACCAATGAGCTCACTACAGTTTACAGAGTTAAACTGCACCATACTACTTTATTGAAAGTGTTCACTGGGGATTATTTGAATCTCCCTGTCATGAAAATCTCAGGTGAGCGGATCAACACAGACACAGACGGAGCAAAGAGGCAAAAAGGCAAAAAGACAGCAGTACTGCCTCGAAAGGAGGACACAGCTTTCAGCGCAGTGGGAACTTCTCATGTCCCACTGGGTTTAGGGGACGGACGAGCACTTTCGATAGCCCATAAATATTGTATGATGTATGAATGCAGACCCATTTGATGATGAAATGGAGGATGTGTGGATGAGTTTAGCTGCACACGTCAGATACCCACAGAGTGCTCTGGAGTGTCTGGTGAAAGGATGCAAGGCAGAGCGAAGTGGACCCTAATTAGAAGGATTTGGAACGCATTTAAAAATGAATCACGCTTTGCCGCGACACCAACAACAGTTTTTACCACTTTTCTAAATGGGCAGCTGGCAGGCAGAGGGCTTGTCAAATTGTGAAAGTAAACTCCCAGCAACATATGAATGGGAGGCCTGATTGCTTTGTCGCTGATGACTCATTGGCTTGCGCATGCAATCGGGCGCCGCAAATGCCTCTGAGGACGACCCCACGCTCCAATGAGCCCTTTCACTGTTACCGCAAACATTTTCGTCCAAAACATCATGAACATGAATTTCAAACATCGAAAATTGTCCTCCTCCGGAAATTATTTTGAACATCTTGTTCAGACACCATATATCAAAGTATAAGAAATAACAATGTAGCACAAAGCAAAGATTCCTTTCATGCCTTACACATTTGCCATTAAGCAAACCCTCAGCAAATTACCTCCTTACACGGCCTGATTTCTAATATCAAGGTCTTGTTATTTTCTAGTGCTGATCTCCTTCCTCTCTGATTGCCACTTTGATGCACTGAGCACATTTTACAACAGAACCCATACAACCTGAATAATGTATTTTTAAGGATTGGAGCGCGATTAGAGTGAAATGGGCACAGCCTTCGGTGACAAAGCCCCCTTCAGAGACGCCATCGAGATACCAGGAAACCTTTGAAGGAAAGGAAATGCAGTCTGCTTTAAATGTGCAAAGCCAACGTGGGGTTACGGCGGCGGCGGCAAACGTCATGGGCATAGTCGCAGAAAGACATAACTTACGGCGCAGACACACAAACAACATACACACGTAAGCATCATCCACTGCATGTAAATGGAATCTCAACAAGGAGCAGAGACTCCTAAACTTGTTTATATGCAGATTTCCCTGCGTAGGGGCGATGATAAGCAGCAAATACATGAAGAAGAACTCTTGCGCTATTTTTACCTGCGGGCGGATTCGACGCGGGATGCATGAAAGCAGTCTGCCTCAAACTAGCGAGTCATGCTCGCTTCGTTGGTTACTCTCCCCACATCTATGGTCTTCCATTATGTGGATTTTCAGGTAGCACCAAGACATAACCACAACTGGTCCCCGGCTCTGCACGGTGGCGCTGTCTGGATGGAATAAGAGGGAAGGCTTCCTGTGAGAAGTTTGGTAAAAGGTTGCGATGTTAATAAAAGACCTACATAACGTTCGGACTCCAGGATGAACTTGTTAGGTTTAGGTTGAGGTCATGATGAGCCCACATGGATGTCATGTCTCAGCAACAGCATTGGCAGATCTCTTCAAATCGCCTACAGGGTCTCAAGGATGAACTTGTTTAGTTTCGGAGGTCAAAGGTCACTCTGTCCCCTGTTATAACGTTTCCTCTCTCGCTCTCTTTGCATGTTTTAACACCAAGCCTTGAATCATGTCACTTAGTATTGGCCGATATCATTTTTCCTCCTGATGAAAAAGGAAACTGTGTAGTCTTTCACTCACACAGTCACCCAGGCCTCTTCTTCGCTCTCTCCTTAGGTGGCAAAGTTGGCTGCATTGACGAGCCATTTGCATGTGTGTCAGAATCTAATTATTACGGGATGCCGCAGGGAGTTCTCTTTGCCGGGAAAAATGGCAACGTATCACCTTTGTGGGAATGGAGCAGCTGCTCACTGTGGGAGACAAACCTGGCAACCCGGAACACCCCGCTCTACATGACTGCAGATGTTACTTTGTAGTGAGAGAGATAGAGAGAGGGAGAGATTACCTGGAGGTGCACCCATGGATGTATGGATACATACCTGACACATCCACCCATATTTACTGTTTACGCAGATATTTCTCTGCTTATTTCCTGAAACAAACACTAACAATCCCCCCTCCCCCTTCTCTCTCCAGCTGGTTGCAGTATATGAAGAGCAGGATCCTCACAATGGGGGCGACGGTACCAGTGCCAGCTCCACCGGTACGCAGAGTCCAGAACCCTTCGCCACTGAAATGAGTTCAGCATTGGCCCCTCAGCCCCGCCAGCCCAACAGTGAGATCGTGGTCACCCCGTCCGCTCTGCGATCCAGTGAGTCCAATTAAAACCCTCAGTTCAGCAGTGTGGCCTGAAGAGACAGCCAATATTACATGATGTATTAGAAAGTTAATGGTAGACATAATTATTCATGAGGTACTCATTTAAATGATTTCAGCAAAAAAGTAAGAAAAAACTACTTGCAACTTTCTGCAGGTAGATGTACATGTTTCTACCTCCAAGCAAAAAGCAACTGACATTGTAAGGTGCAAGTATAATATGAAAGCAGAAAGCCCTGCGTTGTGGGATTTTTAAAGAATGAGCAGAGAATCTGTGCCACCAGCAGGAATTCAAAATGTGAAGCTTAAAAGATATGGACATGAAAGCTGACATCTCAAAGCAAAGCGATGCACATACTCAGCTGCTTGTTTATGTTAAAGGTTTGAAAATCAGAAAAGTACATCGCAGCGGAAAGTTTGACCATGCTTAGATAAAGTTTTGTTATTGTTTTAAATCTCACACGCGGGCATATTGAGGACTAAAGGAGATCGTGGGTCACCAATACATGTGCATTGTGGAACAATACCAAATCGAAGTTGTGGCAGATGGAAGGCGACAGGTAGAAACCCAGACAACTGAAGCAGTTGAGAGAGCTGGAAAACCGTCATGCATCAGTCAGAGCACACACGCCAGAGCAATGTCGACATGCGCTCACTCACACACGGCGCACACACACAGAAAATGACTCGAATGCGGCTCGTGTCCACATAGCCACCTGTCGTGAAGTGGAACCTTTGAGCTGATGCAGAGCTATCTTGAACTTCAAAAGACACATCCAAAACATTGAAACCAGAACTTGCACACAGCCATGAGCTGACACACACACATGCACACGAATGAATGGTCGGTTTCACTGCTCAGCCCTGACATAAGCTTCTCGCAACCTGCTCGTTGGACTGTGAAGATTTATGGAAAAAGTTTCCAGAGAACGGATCAATCTGAAACTAGTTGAACAGCGCAAGAGGCCGGTTTGTTTGAAGTCACCTGACCTGGCGGGCCTAACGGAATGAAATGTTGTTTCTAATTAGCTGATATATATATATATACTTTATCAAGTTTTTGCCCAGTGTTTTCTAAGTTGCAGTTGCAGTCACTCTCTGATTTTCATTGATGAACTTACAAGACAAAATAGGCAAGATAAGAGGTGGATCTGAAGAGTCCCCCTAGTGTTCATTGTCTCTATATCTCTATAAAGCATACAAGTATTCTGTATACAGTCATGACTAACTGATTTCAGTTCTCTTTATAGTGGGTTTAAAACCTCAGAATAGCAAGCTTGAATAAATGAATAACATTTGCTTTGTCGATTGCTAAATGTATTTTACAGCAGCCCCATAATATATGGTGACACAAGCTGAACAAGCAAGACGTAGATGTGTGTCCACAAGTGTTTAAATGAAAGAATTTAAAGTTAAATAATAGTTTGTCCTTCAGCTTGTGTGGGTGCCACAATGGAGCTTAAAAATGTGCTGTCCTAACCCCCTCTCACCCCGTACAGAAACACACTTATCATCCAGTCGCTTGCGTGCACTTTCAACTGCAGGTTTCGCATTCCAGAAATATAATGACAAAATTGCAAAACAGGGGTTTGATTGAAGTGATGATCTTCTTCCTACACAGTGTCGCTCAAGGTGATGGGTATGTCTGCAGCAATTTTTCAGAGATAATAATGCTGAAGAAAAAAGTTAGGAATGGTATATAAGGGGCTTAGGCTATACAATAAGATTGCATTGTTACAGGATACGTTCCAGATTTATTTGTATTTTTTCTTCCCCACCTTCAAATTCCTAATACCACTCCATTCCAGAACTACCATAAGAGGTGAACAACAGGTTTAAGAGATTGAAAGACAGCCGGACGGACAGACAGACTGACTGGCAATGCATATTCAGCCGGACCAACAAGACAGACAGATGGTCCCTTCAGAGATGCAGATGAGCAAATTAGTGGCAGCAATATTGCATATCAGACATCAAAGTGTTGCAGCGGTGCCCTTGGCAGCTGTGCTCTGAGGCAGAGAATTATGGGTACTTAAAATCATCATCTTTTAGAACCATATTGATTGTTTTTTCCCCTCCTACAACTCCCAAAGTCCCAAACTCTGCATCTCGCTTACTTTCTGTCCTCCACCCTTCCCTTACCTCCGTCTAGGGAGTCCGTTTTAGATTTCCATGCTCACATGCGCCGTGCAGGTCAAACTGCTAATAATTGGATAGGAGATGAGATGTAAATTGCAACAATGAATGTCATTGTCCCGTAATTATATCTGGCTCTACTCATCACTTAATTAAAATTTTTCACAAGAGTACATTTGTAAAACTTGAAATTAACACAGCACCTGGATGGCACATGTAACTTTGAATTTGATTGTTCTAGTCTTTGTTGCTCAAATATCATAGAAAAGGAATTGCACCCAGGGTTGACTTAATAACACTGGCTGTTGGATTAATATGTGGTATGCCAAACCACAGGGCTATGGGGTCACACATTTGAATCTCTCATTAACTCTGAAATTAATGGAAGTAAATTACTCAAGTGATGAAGTCCTCTAGTAATGGCCTTCTTTGTCCCACCTGTTGACAAACAGAGAGGATTGAATGGAGAAGAAGGATATGGAAAATTACACAAAGCGATGTACTCAGTGCTGAAGTCACATAGCTGTTCCAACTGGCCACGCTGCAAGGTATCGTTCAGGTATACGGGGAAAACGGTGCCCCCCATAGACAGTCTGGTTGTGTAATGAAAGTGGTTGTTCTCATGCATACAGATATAATTGGGTCAGTCCTTGGCTCCTTTTATCGCCTCAACACAACTGGCCCTCATAGCGGTATTTGGGTTTCAGTGTTGGATTGAGCTTTTCAAAAAATGTCCAATGTAAGTGTGTAGAGTATCATGTCATCTAAAGCACTGAACCGTGGCTTTGGCTTTCGGTGAATCACAACCCTCCACATACTTCCTGTTTGAGAAGTTATTGACTTTAGGATTGGTGTGTGACCTTCAGCTATCACTACATTTAATGTGATTGTTACTTCACTGTTGGAGGTTTGTTCCTCCGTTTTTACAGGCTCAATGGCTGTTGCTCAGGGTATGCAATTAGAAAAATGGGAGCAGCTGAAGGGCTATTGATAGAGGTTAAAACTACGCTGACATTGATGTGAAGTGGTTCAGAAACACTCAATGGATGATCACAGTGATTACAAAGATACTTTCATGATTGCCCAAAACTAAAATATCTACAGGAAACTTTTTGACAGTTACACAGTGACCACTTTCACAAATGTCAACTCCAGCTGAGTCAAACACACTCACTCTTTTATCTCTAATCTAAACCAAGGTGGTGATGAATGGTCCCTTCCTCCACTGACCTGGCCCTATTGTCCTTGATGTCACCTCCCTCCGTCCTTGAGGCTCTGTGGTGCCAGGGTTGCTGGGAGACCATTACAGAGATTGCCTGTGCGGGGGAAATGGAGGGGGGGGGGGGGGGGACACCTCAGAAGAGGAAGGCCTTCATATAATCAATTTGGCTTAGTGTGCTGCCTCGAAAGAGGCACCCCGCTGCCAGCCAAGGCCATATAAAAGTCAGTAGAGAAGAGTCCAGGCCCAGTGACATTCTGAAGACACACAACAGAAGTGCAGAGACAAAAACAACACAAAGCCGCTCACAAGACGCACCTTCTCATAGAGACAAGAGCTAATGTCTGAGATGAGTTAATGGAAGCATTGATTCTTCCCTCTTTTTCTTTTCGAGATCATGTCATATTTAAGTCTTTAAGTGGACTGTCCGCCCCATTGTAGGCTCTCCCATTGGGTCCAGGTGACTTCCAAAGGCAGTGATTGTCAATTATAGATAAAGTATGAGGTTTAGGTTTGGAACCACATGCAGCTCTGTCTGATAGCAGGCTGTGATACTTAACATTCTCATCTTCCCTCTCGCTCCTAACTCTCCATGGTGCAGAGTTACTTCTTCAATCTCTCACTTTAGCAGTGAGCAGGTGATGCAGTGCGATTCAGGGGCTTAGATATAAGCAGCATCACGGCGTTGGTGACGATGGCAGAGTGCATCTACTGATTGCCCCCGTCTGATGGCTAACCAATCTCACGTCCGCTCTGTCCGTCGCCCTATTGCCTTTCCCTCTCAGCAAAGTTGAATCTTGGACAATGTCAGAACTTCTTCATAATAATTCTTTGCCTTTATTCACAGTAAGTAAGACTATGGACTAGGACTACATTGTTGTCTATGTCCTGGTGACAAGTGGAGCGGTTTATAAAATAAATACAGCTTTATTTGTTTCTTGCATCTTTGAGTAGTCCCATTACCGTTATTGTAGTACCCTGCCATTGTCCTTAATCATTTTAGGGTATGGTTGGTAATCCAGTTTTGGGTACACAGACGGCCGGCTAAAGTGTCACAATACATAGCAACTAACCAAGCAGGGAAGCCCATCCACCCTTCTCCACCTACTAAAGGAGAATGAAAGTTTTTCTGTAATTGCCAAGAAAAAAGCCTCACTTTCTCAACTCAGCATACATTTCCTTTTAAATTTGTTTTTTTTCTCTGTCATATACTCTATGTTTCTCTTTCCACCTCTGCAGTGCCGGGACACTATTCATCGTCATGACAGACTTTTCCGGCGAAAAGATTTATCGCTCTCTGATTCAACAAAATTGAAAAGCTCCCCCCGGTGTTATGTGGCTATGACAGAAAAGCGCTATTGTTCCAATGGACCAAAACAAATCTACAATAGTCTTGGCAAGGATTCAATGTTTTGGATATAGAAGAGAAGAGAGATGTGTTTAAGTCACAGTGGCCCCTCATATATCTACTCAACTCTTCTGTGTGCGTCACACCCCTCACAGTAGCTCCACAGTCGAGTACGCACTCGGCAGTGAGGACGTTGGCATAGCGAGCTCATCATTAGCAAAGCTGAATGCACTTTCCAACCCAGCGGCCCTCGTGAGACTTTGAACTGCCTCCCTCTATCCGAGTTAGTGGA